TTTTTTTTTTAAATTAGTTTTGTTCAACCCCGTTTCTCCCTTCCCAAATTCTTCACTTCTGACTTCGTGATCACTGCGAATCCCGCGAGAATGAAAGATCGAAGTGACGTCAGCTATCTCCATCCAGAATGGACAGAAGAGGAGACGGCGATGTTAGTTGAAGCATGGAACACCGTTGAATCCAGCTCGAAGGATTACCATCCTACCCGTAATAAATTTGCGGGGGGTCTTGATGAGCGCATTACGGAGGTATTTTCTCGTCGCAGCAATAAAAAACGAAGCACAAGCGGTGTCCACGTTCAGCGATGTAAGTTATATGATGCGATCCGGTTTATCCACCGCTTTGACGAGATGCAGCAAACTTGTGGGGGGCGACTGTGGTTTGATCTGTCCACTGAAGAACGAGTTAAAATTGCAACGACTGACAGGACTAGCAAAACGGTCTTTGCTCTTACGCGAGAGTCCTACAATACCCTCGTTAAGCTGAAGTCTGTGCGTAAGTGGACCAACGTTCGACATGCAATAGTAACCAAACCCAAGCTCTATGTGGAAGCCGATCTCTGTGGCCCAGAGGCGTGCAGTTCATGTTGGTCGACATCCGAAGTGAAGTCTCTTGTGCGTTCCTGGTGTCGCTTTATGAAGAAGTCCAACTGTTCAGTCGGTGCATTTGTGACTCAAAGCTCTGCTGAGTCTGCAACGTCGTACACCCCGTGGAATCATTCAACCGTGAGTGCATGGCGGAAATTGAAGCGGATTGCGACGTCGTACCTGTTTATTCAAGACTTTAACAAGAGGTATGCGCCAGCGAAATGGTTCCAGTTATCAGACGGAACGCAGAATATGTGGCTGGACTGGACTGCCCTTCCCGCAGACTTTGAAGATATTTCAAAAGATGTCTATGACGAAATTCGTAGTGTGGACTTCCTTGATTCATCTCAAACAATTGACAATGACAAGGTCAATGGGCGTGAGTTCAATGCTGGACGACAATTGAAAGCTCTGAGAGAAGATCATCTCATTGGCAACAATACGCCAAGGCTAAAAAGAGTCCGCACCGATTCGCCGCATCTTCCTGAATCAAAATGTACGAAAACCCAAAAAGATTCGAAGCAAACCTCTGACCAGCACAAGGCGTGCAATGATCTGTACGAGCACTTGGAGCGACTTCAAGAGAGACAATTCAAGCAAGCGATTCAGCGATTACGGAGTAATCTTGAGCGAGATATACGCGAAAGTACGGACGCGGTACGTGCTGTTCTTTTTGAGCGGCTTGGAGATCCTGGTGATAGTGGCGATGCCACATTTGTGGCGAATCTTCTGGACGATCAGCAACGGCAGCTTCGTGACCGTTTTTTTCAAATTTCAAAGGGATGAGACAACTGTCAATGGGGATATTTTCGATATATCCTCTTCGTAACTCGTGCGGTATTTTTTTGAAACTTTCCAGCTCCCAATTTCTCTGAAATTAATTTTCATTTGTTAAAACTACAACTACCAAGAATTAGTGGGTACTTGTTGGTTTCAGTGGTGTCTTGTGCATTACATTATTAAGAGTCTTAGAGTGCATCAGAATTTGATAGAACCTTCGTAAAGAATGCGTCGTATTAAAGTTTTACGAATACAGTCCAAAACACGGTTGTAGCCTAAGTGAGATATACTGTCTGGGCGCCGGTCCGTTCTCCCATTCTTAAAAATCGGCCATTGGTATTGTATCTTTCGAGGTCGGGACCGCGGAACGCAGATTCAAGATTAGTGGCCCAACACAAGTTGTCATTGCCGAAGCCATTACGTGTCAGTCTAATTTCTTACAATTCAAGCAAAATATGAAATAAAAGTCCCTGGTGTTTCTAGTAAATATCCATTAACGTGTTTATAGTACACTTTGAGCTCTCACTTGTGGCAAGGCGCTGGAAGAATGACTAAAAGCGACTAACCCTGTCAGGGATCTTCTGTTCTTTTAAGTTTTCGTCGTTTTTGGGGTAAACGCCTCAAAAAAAATGCCCACCAAATAAACTACTTACAGGGTCATGATGGTCACCTATGCATGTAAAGTTGATTGAAGGTATTTGTAAAATGTCAGAACAATCATAATTTTTAAAGCTTATAGGTGATGATAATTTACGCGACCGCCGATGAGCTCTAAAGTTTAAGCTTCGGTTATTTTGTTAAAACAGATTCCTTCGCTTTGGCTTTAGTGGTTACTTCGAATTACCTAACTGAGTACAATCGACTATGGACGAGTATACAGTATGTACTTGTATTTGGACGTTCATCGGTATCATCATTTTTTAGAATCGGACTTTATGTAAAATGGGCATGTAAAAGGTAACAATTACCTTAGTCTGCAATATCGTACAACCCAGGGAGCAACCGTGAATGCGTACGAAAAGTAGGAAGCAGGGCTCGACGTTGCATCTATTCATTCAAGACTTCAACGAGCCAAATTTATGGATCGATTTCAAACTGTCGTTGTCTTCACAACCTGTCGGGTACGGTAAAAGGAAACTGGAAACCTTCGAAAAGTTGGTTAATAAGCATGTCAAGACAAAACCAATGCACCGAATGTCACATCTTGGTGACCCAATTGGACGAATACTCTAAAACGTGCTAGGCAAACTCGTGTCACACGTATCGGTACGAATTCATGGAACAACTCCAAAACATGCAGTTATCAGCGATTGCGGACGAGACATTCGCGTAGATGCCGACGCGGCACATGTTGTGTCGGCTTGGGGGCCTGGTGAAAATAGCTAATCTCCTGAACGACTAGAATCGACATTTTTGTAGTAAACCCGGTTCCAAAGCCATGAAGCAGAAGGGAATTTGTTAGACGCATCCTCGGAAGGTTTCGGATGGAGCTGCTGACAGCGGGACTGTATACTCACAACATTTACTCTCTTTTCATGGGAAATCGTCAGTGTTGTTGCACAGAGCCACCGTCGGTTTGTTGCGTCGAGCTCTCCTCTGACTGTTTAGATCTGCTACTTTGGTCCAGCTGCGAGAAGTTAATTTGTGTTTGCAGCGAAGCAGTGGTGGTGGTTGAAGCAGCAATAGGAGTAGACGTATTCCCTTCACCGGCAAACATGTAGATCGATGAGAGAGCCTTGGCGTACGTGTCGGGCCAATTGTCCCAGTTTACACTGAATAGCAGATTCGATCCACAGGCACTCCCAAGTCCAGGCACCGAGATATATCCTGGTTCCCAGTAGAAAATACCAGCACCTAGTCCGTTCGGCAGGCCTTCCAGCACGTCCATAACAGCCATCAC